TTATTTTTTCACCAACAGATAAATTAAAATTCTCTAACAGTTTCTAAATTTCTACTTCAATTAAAATTTTACTAGACTTGAAGCTCACATAAATACATAAAATGAACAATAATTATTATGATTGGTGTAATTATGAAGATGCTCCAGAAACCAATAATCCAATGGAATCTTCACTTTATGGAAAGCCAACATGCTAGTCAACAGCTTGGTCCACAAAGCATGTCTAAAACAGAACCAAACCAATTTGTTTGTTGCCATTTTTTTTCTGGTAACAATGAATAAGATCAATTCCTTGTCAAACACATAAGCTGAAAATAATTCTAAATTTCAAGAAAGAGAAATTATAAGAAAATACAGCAGCAATAACAATGCAGGCCAAGTATTTAATAGAATCATTTTTCCTCATCCCAGCTACATCTTTGAGATCTTTATCAATAGCAACAAATAGTTTGAAATCCTATAATGACTGATTGTGGAAATAAATATTTCATTGGCATATAGATTTGGAACTAATATTGGCCAACTTGAAAAATTCTTATTGTAAAGAGTGTGCTGGGAAACATTCACCATATAACTAATAAAAATACCTTGAATTACAGTTGCCTATCTTTATTATGATAAATCTATAACCAGGCTATAAATTTATTCATAAGGAGTTTATCCAGTGATTTGCATTTTCATATTAGTTTCTCATTTTCAAGACTCAATCAGAATTTTCAAACCAAAATGTTTCATGTATACAAGCACAAGGTAGGTAATCCCACTCAGCAGTATCTGCAAGAAGGATTTGGATATATTGGTAGATCACTGATTAAGCATAAGCATTAAGTAGTATGCTGTAGTTGCTGAAAAAGCTAACACAATCTTAGGCTAATTCAAAAAATATAATGTCAAAGTCACAGAAAATTATTGTTCTGCTCTACACTGCATTGGTGAGACCTCACTTGGAATTCTGTGACTAGTTCTGGTTGCTATAATAAAAGTAAACTACTGATGAACTGAAAAGAGCGCAGAGAAAAACAACAAAGATGGTAACAGCTTTGAGAGAAAACGTTTAAGTAATGGTTAAAAGAATGGATGTGTTTAGTGTAAAGAAGAGAAAGCTAAGGAGAGACATGCTAACAGTATTCTAATACCTGAAGGCTGTCACATGGAAGTATATGTGAATTTATTTGCCATAAACCCCAAGAACAGAACAAGAAGTAGTGTTACAGAGAAATATCATATAAAGAAAAAAATCCTGATCATGAGATCTTTTAAGTAATGGAACATTCTGCTTTGTGCAATAATGGATGGTCCATTAGTGAAGGTTTTCAAACAAAAATTGGATAGCCATTTTTCTGTGATGGTTGGAGGACTCCTTTTGGGCAGTGGGGTTCTAATAGAAGAATTCCAAAATCCCCATCAACTTAACTCTGTTGTAATTGTCACAGAAAAAGACAATATCATTTAACATATGTGAAACCCAAGGATTTTTTTTTTAATTTGGTTACAGACAGAACTTTTGATATAAGTCAGTTTTGAGATCCATGTTACTTTTGATGGTCCTTCGAGGTACAACTCAATGTTGAAGAAAGAGGAATGAGCTGGTATAGCTAGAGAATCATCAATTATATGAGTGGTTAATTCTGTAATTAACTTTGGGATTACCAAAATTGTTCCTTCTTTCATTCCCAATATTGTGGACTCCAACTCCCAGAATTCCTGAGTCAGCATGGCTGGTTCAGAAATTCTGGGTATTGAAGTCCAGAAGTCACAAAAGAGCCAAGGTTTCCTATCCCTGCTCTAGGACACGGTTATATGTAGGAATCTCTATGGAAGTTTCCAGAATTTGAAATTGATATACAAAAGGATGGTTACCTTTTTGACCCCAGGCCAGCCAAATGAGGCTGTCAAGGTTCTGTCTCAGTGCCTAGAAGATTTGTGGGTTTGTATGTCATGGACTCAATCATGCCAAATAACTATGGATGTTTAAACCACCCAGATCTAAGAATATTCCATCTTTGACTTTGGTTAGTACACAACCTGGGGATCTTCCTGGACTCATAGCTCCTGCATGAAGAACAGATGTCAACTGTTGCTAGGAAGGCCTTGGACATAATTCCATTTGGTGCATCAGTTGTGCTCTCTCTTAGATTGTGGGGCTATTCAGACAATCACTCATTCCTTAGATACCATACAGCTTGATTACTGCATTGTTGTCTACATGGGGATGCCATAGAAGAACACCCAGAATCATCAGCTAGTCCAGAATGTGATGGTGTGGGTAGTAATGGGCATGTCTTGGTATGCCCAATTAACACCTTTACTTTAAAAGCTGCACTGGTTGTCTATTGCTTCTGGGTGTGATTCAAGGTCCTAGTTGTTACATTTAAAGCCCTTATAGCATGGTCATGTTCACATGAGAGACAGCCTTCCATAACATCTCCCTGGACGACCTGAAAGTTTGGTCAAATGGTTCCTTATGTTAAACAATGTCCTCTTTCATTGTACTCTGTAAGATCTCTACAGTAGCACCTACTCTCTGGAACAATGTTATGTCAAGATCTAGATGGCCTCTATTCTGCTCTTGTTTAGAAGAGGTTTGAAGCCTGGGTTTTATCCAAGCCTTTGGGGAGGAATAGGGAAACTCCTTCTTCATCATATTTGCCATTTAAAAAAAAAAAAACATTATTGATTTTATGTTATTTATTTTATTTTTTATTGAAAATTTTTAAATTTTACAAAACAATACAGTTCCCTTCCCTGAGCCCCCCCAACCCTCCCATACCCTCCCCCGACCTTCCCAGAGCTGAATACAGGCTTAATTAAAAAAAATTCAAAAAATCTTAAAACAGATATAAACCATTAACAAATCTAAATACATTAATTAAACAAGTTGTGAAATAATTAACAATAATATATGTATAAAAAGACAAAAATACAAGGAAATACAAGAAAATAGGAAGAAAGAAAAAAAGAAAAAAAGAAAAAAGAAAAATAAGAAAAGAAAAAAAAGGGAAAGTCTATAAAATCTATAAAATATCTTAAATTTTAAATATAAGTTATTGAAAAGCTAAATAATATTTTTTTATATCCAACCTATATTGTATAAAGTCTATCCATTTTTTCCATACCAAAAAATACTTCTCTTGCGATTGGTCTTTCAAGAAAGCTGAAATCTTTGCCATTTCTGCCAAATAAGAAACTTTAAAAAACCTCTTGCAAGGTAGGCAAAGATTCCTTCTTCCAACATTGCCCTACTAACAACCTTGCCGCTGTAATTAAATTTAACATCAATATAGTCTCTTTAGTATCACAATTAGAAACAATACCTAACAAAAACAATTGTGGGGTAAATTTTACCCTTCTTCTAAAAATTCTTTGGATATTCCACCATATCTTAATCCAAAAAGCTTTTATATTTTTACATGACCACCAGATATGATAATAAGTAGCATCCGAACATCCACATCTCCAACATTTAGGCTGTAAGTCAGGATACATACGAGACATTTTTTGTGGATCAAGGTGCCATCTATAAAACATTTTGTAAAAATTTTCCCTTAAATTTTGGGCTTGTGTAAATTTAACATTCCTCACCCAAATAATTTCCCAGGTATCTAATAGAACCGATTCATCAAAATTTTGTGTCCATTTAACCATACATTCTTTAACTAATTCTGCTTCTAAATCCAGTTCTACTAACACCCCATAGATTCTCTTAATATGGGTTCGTCTTTGATCTTTTATTTGTTTTAATAAATTCTCATCTTCTCTAAGCAAACCCACGTTACAATCTATCTTCCACCTCTCCACTATTTGTCTATAATGAAACCATGAGTAAATAATATTTTCTTGTATTAAATCTTCCAACGATTTTAAATATTCCATCTTTGACTTTGGTTAGTACACAACCTGGGGATCTTCCTGGACTCATAGCTCCTGCATGAAGAACAGATGTCAACTGTTGCTAGGAAGGCCTTGGACATAATTCCATTTGGTGCATCAGTTGTGCTCTCTCTTAGATTGTGGGGCTATTCAGACAATCACTCATTCCCTAGATACCATACAGCTTGATTACTGCATTGTTGTCTACATGGGGATGCCATAGGAGAACACCCAGAATCATCAGCTAGTCCAGAATGTGATGGTGTGGGTATAATGGGCATGTCTTGGTATGCCCAATTAACACCTTTACTTTAAAAGCTGCACTGGTTGTCAATTGCTTCTGGGTGTGATTCAAGGTCCTAGTTGTTACATTTAAAGCCCTTATAGAATGGTCATGTTCACATGAGAGACAGCCTTCCATAACATCTCCCTGGACGACCTGAAAGTTTGGTCAAATGGTTCCTTATGTTAAACAATCTCCTCTTTCATTGTACTCTGTAAGATCTCTACAGTAGCACCTACTCTCTGGAACAATGTTATGTCAAGATCTAGATGGCCTCTATTCTGCTCTTGTTTAGAAGAGGTTTGAAGCCTGGGTTTTATCCAAGCCTTTGGGGAGGAATAGGGAAACTCCTTCTTCATCATATTTGCCATTTAAAAAACAAAAACCATTATTGATTTTATGTTATTTATTTTATTTTTATGAGCTACCCAGAGCCATTGAGAATTAGATGGCATACAAATTCAATTTATTGTTGTTTTTGTTATTTATATTCTAAATATGATAAAATTAGTATAGAGATTAGATATACAGTATTCATACTATAACCAACAAAATAAGCAAAGGACATTTATTCTAAAAACTAATTTATTGCATAGTTAGTTTAATTATGATGATGTCCCAAAGGTCAGTTTCCCAATGGCACCATCACTTTATGTAAAAAAGTCCCCTGACTAGTCATTACTTTGGTTCACAAAGTACATTCATAACTGAACCAACTCAGATGTCAGCAGAAATTATGCTCCTTGAGAGGAATAGGATCTGATCCTTTGCAAATGCCAAAATTGAAAATAATTCTAAACTTCAAAAAGTAGGAAATTTCTAGAAAAAGTCATCAACAATATCAATAATGGCAAGTATTACCATTTTCCTTTATCCTAGCTATTTCCGCCATATATTTACCCCAATTTCATCAAATAAGGTGAAAGCTTCTATTAAATGTTTGTAGACCAAACCATTTCCTTTAAATATAGATTAAGAACTACAGATAGTCTACAGAAATTATACTATTTGCAATTAGGGTCAAATGTGGGGAATCATTAATTTGTAACTAGGCAAAGTCTCACAGATTGTAGTTGCCTACTTTTACCATGAAAATATGTTCCCAGTCCATTGCAATAAGTACTGTATCAATAGAAGGGAATATATGCAGTTTAGGGATGAAATATGTAGTCCTTGGTGTTTGGGAAATAAGGTAGCACTTTACTTTTCAACAAATTCAAAGCAACAGTAGAAACTGAAACATTATTTCCATCTATAATGACTAGTAATTCTGCAATAAAGTATATAAGTCTATTTATAACTAACTATCACATGTATGTGATTAGGAGAAGGGGAGGAAGAATTACTGTCATCAATTGAAATAACTTTTGATTAGAACCAAATAATCTTTCCTGACAAGGAAATTTTCTCCAAGTGAAAATAAAACTCAATGAAAGAGTCTACTCAGTTGTCTATTCTACAATTTTAAAATAAAATAAGAAATAGAATTATAGCTAAAACAAAGTTTTTTCCCCCATTCTTATCATGTGACCTGGGCAAGTAGAAGTCAGATTAAATTGCTTTGGGGATGATTCAACTCACATTTCACAAATGACTGAGGAACTTTTTTACACTCCTCCTCTTTCTGCTTTTTTGTTAGAATGGTGTGTAAGCAATAATTAGTACTTTCAAACAACCTTCTGTCATTTCTTCTGAAGAGGCAGGTTTTCTGAAAAGATTTCTAAACAAATAATCACATTAGCACTCTCTTTACCTTCTTAAGAGTTGAATTCTGGGGTAATTCAGAACAGTCTACTTCTTCATACAACATAACATATTCTTATTCCTTTATCTCATTATGTAGTGTGTGTGTGTGTGTGTGTGTGTGTGTGTGTGTGTGTATACACAATAGAGTAGCTGGATTACATAACACAGAGACAGTACATTGATTAACCTGAACAATCTAAGATAATCCTTCATACTTTAGTTCTTCTAAAAAATTGAATTTGAGTTCATTTTATTATGGCTTAGCATTTCCTGAAGGAAAGATGGATCTAATGATAATCAGGAAAATCTGGTTTCTCTATATTAAAGAGAATGACAATTTTTCCACATTTTATTGTATCCATATTGTTTGTGAATTACTGTATAAACATATAATGTCATTAGATGTTAATTTTCTTGCTGAATTAAGAAAAGTTGTCTCATATACAAAAATCACAATTTTATGCAAATATACTAATATTTAATGTAAAACTATTTACTTCTCTAGAACACCAGCATCAACAGTATTGAAATAAAGAACAAGACAGCCATAATAGAGTTCATCCTGGTTGGTCTATCAGCAACAACATACATTCAGATCATTCTCTTCTGCATATTTGTAACTATCTATGTTACAGCCCTAAGTGCCAACTTCATCCTCATCCTCACCATATGGACTTTCAGGAAACTCCACACACCCATGTATTTTTTCATTGTCAATTTGTCCTTAGTGAATGTATTCTCTATTTCAATTACAATACCTAAATTGCTCCAGAGTCTCTTGACTGGAAGGAAGACCATCTCATTTCATGGTTGCCTTACTCAGGCCTATATGTTTATATGGGCTGTAGGGACAGAACTTCTACACCTCTCCTTTATGGCTTTTGATCGCTATGCTGCTATCTGTCACCCTTTACAGTATCCCATGATCATGAGGAAGGAAGTGTGTGCTTGCATAGCTATTGGAGTGTGGATGGTAGGTCTAGTTAATACTTCAACTCATTCTGGATTGTTGAATCAGCTGTCATTTTGTAACTCCAATGTTATCAATCATTTCTTTTGTGACCTTCCCCCTTTATTGCATCTCTCATGTTCAGATCCAACTCTAAATGTCTTTGTCTTATCTGCTTCAGATTGGATATTAGGAGTTGGTTGTTGTGGGTTCACTTTAACATCTTATTTTTTTATAATAAGAACAATCTGCAGAATCCGTTCCACTGAAGGGAAGAAGAAAGCATTCTCCACTTGTTCCTCACATTTTATTATAGTCAGTATTTTTTACTCTTCTGTAATCTATACTTATATCAGGCCATATTCAGCCTACTCTCCAGAACAAGATAAGATTGTTGCTCTCCTTTATTCAGTGGTAACTCCTCTTGGTAATCCAGTCATATATTCACTGAGAAACAAGGATTTTAAGGAAGGATTGAAAACACTTACAGGAAGAATCCGGCTGCTCAGTAGGCTTCAATACTGAGAAAACAAAAATACGTTAACAAAACTACCTAATAGAAGCCAACACATTCTACATAAATAGAACAGTTTTTCATTTTATACATTTGTATCTCTAAATTCTACTATTCTATTCTATTCTGTTGTCCATATATAATGACTGTATTTATTTCTCTATATGTGGATTTAATAATTCTGAAACTAAGTAAATACTGGGAAAAACTTATAGATGCTTAATATTTTTCTCTATGTTTGAAATATAGAGCTCTGCGTATGATTTCACTCAAAAGGGATCCTCACGAATATACAGTCATTTATGCCTATGGTTTTTCCTACTTAGATTTCTAGTGAAAGTGCCATGCTTACCACAAAGTATCATCTGAGTTGGGGTAGCAGGTTTCAGAATGCATATCTTGTGTCCTTATGGTATGTACTCCAGTATTAATAAACACTGAGTAGGAAGCTTATATTTATTGTATATTCAAAAACATCAACAAACCTCTTCTTGAACTGTTTTGTGCCTTCATGTTTTAAAATTGTATTTAGATAGTAAACAATATAAATTGCCAGATTGTACAAAATGATTTAATTTATGAAAAATAAAAATGTTTCTTTCAATTATATTTATTTATTCAATTCAGATAATATATTTTTATTCAGAAGTTGTCAATGAAGTTTGGTGACAAAATATTATATCAATATCAATCTTTGTTTGACTCAGATATTTTAAAGGTATGGATATGTCCTCACTGTTAATTAATTCCAGGTTGCTTCTCTCCTTGATTAGTTACTATCCATTGTTTCTTGTCTTCCCTTCTGGGGTTTTGGAAAATAAATTGACCCCTCCTCCTTGTCGCAACCTCTCAAATGCTGGAATACTGCTATCATGTCCCCCCCTAGTCCTTATTTTCTGTAGATTGGCCTCTGTTTATACAATCAAAGATTGTATTAGCTTTTTTGGCTGCTTCCACACACTGCTGACTCATGTTTAAGTGATTGTCTATTAGGACTCCAAAGTCCCTCTTACAATTACTGTTTTTGAGCCAGTTTTTACCTAATCTGTACTTGTACCTTTGACTTTCTCTGCCCAGGAAAAAGTCAGGTGTAAAACCTTGCCTTTCTCCACATTAGAAAAATCGGATCACAAACCCAAACTCTGGCTCAGATACGTAGACGACACCTTCATAATCTGGCCACATGGGAAAGAAAAACTGGACAACTTCCTCACACACCTCAACAGCCTACACCCCAAAATACAGTTCACCATGGAAACAGAAGCTAACAACCAACTTCCCTTCCTGGATGTCTTAGTCTACAAGAAATCCAATGGCTCCCTAGGACACACCATCTACCAGAAGAAAACACACACAAACCGCTATCTGCATGCTCTCTCACACCACCACCCAGCACAGATCAACTCTGTAGCCAAGACACTCATCTCCAGAACAAAACGCTTAGCTGACGAACAACACCTAAAAACCGAACTACACACTCTCACCAATGTACTAACATCCAATGGATTCCAAAGAAATAAGATTACAAACCTAATCCAAAAAGAAACCCCCACTAAAATCCAAGACAAAGAACAAGAAAACGGCAAAGCCCTCCTCCCATACATAAAAGGCACCACAGACAGAATCAGTAAGATCCTCCATAAACACAACATCAAAACAGCATTCTGCACAAACAAAAAAAAAATATCCACCATCCTTAGAAACACCAAAGATAAAATTGAATTAGAAAATCAAGAAGTATACGAAATCCCATGCACCACTTGTCCCACCACATACATTGGACAAACCAACAGAAGAATAAGCGCACGCATTGAAGAACATAAGAACTCAGTCAAAAAAGAGGAACCAACATCTTCCCTGGTCCAACACCTTAAAGACACAGGACATGAAATTGACTTTAAAAATACCAGAACCATTGCCAAAAGTGAACATTTTAATAACAGAATAATCAGAGAAGCCATCAAGATAGAAAAACGCCCATACAGCATGAACAAGCGAGATGATACCTCCCGCCTACCAGCCATTTGGAAACCCGCCCTTATTGACAAATGACTCCCTAACACAAAAAATGATACCAGACCCACACTCACAAAACCCACACAGGATGTCACCACCACACATCCACGCAAAAAGCAAATCCAAAGCCACACCGATGATGAGGCACGACCACAAACCAGAAGCCAGACCACAGCTGCATCATTAGCCACTTTAAACCCCTCCAACCCATACATGAAGCAAACTGACACCCTCCATGAAGATGAGACACGACCACAAACGCGAAGCTTTCGTTGCCTAACGTGCCTCCTGTACACTGTCCAGGTCTCACTAGCATACATCAGGGTAGTTAGCACTGCTGCCTGGTAAACTTTAAGCTTAGTAGCAAGGCTTATTCCACAGCAGTCCCACACGTTAGTCCACAATCTGCCAAATGCAGAACTTGCCTTGGCAATTCTATAGTTGACCTCATTGTCAATTGTCACTGCACGGGAGAGGGTACTACCAAGGTACGTAAATTGGTCCACTGCTTGCAGCTTTTGTCGCTTTACTATGATGGTAGGCTCTTGATATTGGGCTTTTGGAACTGGCTGGTATATCACTTCAGTTGTCTTCATGTTGATGAAGAGGCAAAGTTATCACAAGCAGCTGCGAATTTGTCCATGCTGGATATAGATATAGATATACAGATAGAGATATACAGATAGATAGATAGATAGATAGATAGATAGATAGATAGACAGACAGACAGACAGACAGACAGACAGACAGACAGACAGACATGTAAGTGTGTGTGTTTGTGTCTGTTTGTCTGACTGGGTGGCTGACTGGCTATTGGTTTCGACAATTGAAGAAGATTCTCTTGCTTTTTTTTTCTACCTGTATTTGCCACAGCATTATGAGGAAGCTGTTTAATCCAGATGTTTAATCCAGTATACTTCACATACTATTTTCTGCTTTTTTAATCACATAGCTTTTGTAGACTTTTGATACCAGCAGGTTATTATTCCAAAGATGGATGGAAAATTTCACAATTGGTAAAACAAAACTTCAACAGCTGTATTACCATTACACCAAGGTGAGTGCTGGTGGTGGTAATGCTGGTGGTAATGGAAATAGTTATGATGATGCAATCTCACTATTAGGATTCCTAAGATATTGCAAGTGAGCTTAGATGTCAGAAAAGAATAAAATTCTTGAAGAAATGAAAAAAAAAGATGGCTAATAACACCACTTTTCTTTGGAGTTGTACCATAAAATTATATATCAATGGAAAGATAATTTAGATAAGATGATAAGATAAGACAAGACAAGACAAGACCAACTGAAAATGTCTGCTCATAGAGCTTCCGGTGGCATTGTTCTGTGCCGATGGCGGCTACTTTGTAGCTGTCCACCTGAGATCGTGTAAAAGCTGCGGTGAAAGCGAACATCAGCTGTCCCGTGGTTTGAAGCTTCTCTCCCGGGCAAAGGGAGAGAGGTGAGTTTTTTGCCTTGTGGATAGTGGTAGAACCACTAAGATCTCGAGATCTTTTTTCGGGATTGAAGGTGAGCTCCCACGGAGTCCTAGGCATTTCTCCACAACTCAGACGTCTTTGTCCCTTTTTGTTTTGGGACGAAGCAAGATGCAGCTTCCACCTCCGCAACTTATGTGAACTGGTGAGCTAATTTTGAATGCGGACAGAGCTGATCAGGGGAATGGATACATATAACGACAAGAAAGGATCTTCTACTTTCTTCAAGCAAGCTAAACTACCAAAGGCTTTTTTTGAAATGAAAGAAGATTTGGAATTGAAAGATATTTGGCGGGAATGTAATATGGATGAGAGGGACTTTACTTTTTTTCTAATAGGAACCAATCATTTTCAAGAATTGACTTTTTTATTACTATGAATTTATATTTTAGTGTTAAAAATGTAAAAAATTTTCCAAGGACACTTACTGATCATAGTCCTGTATGGTTGGAATTAATTCTGAGAAGGAGGAAAGAAGATCTTGGAGGTTGAATGAAAATTTATTTAGACATGAGGTGAATGTATTGAAGCTTAGAGAACATTTAAAGGAATTTTTTACTTTAAATATGTTTAAGGGAACTTCAATGGCAATGGTGTGGGATGCTAGTAAGGCTTATATGCGGGAGGTTTTGATTCAAATGAATAATTCTTATAGGCAAAAACAAATGCAAAAATGTAAAGATTTGGAGGAGGAGATTAAGATAAAAGAAAAAGCATTAATTATGAATCCTTCGGATAAGAATGTAAAGGCTTCCATAAATTTGCTTAAATCACAATTTAATATGTTGATGGCTGACCAGGTTGCAACTAACTTACATTTTATGAGACATAATACATTTTGTAATGCAAATAAACCGGGCAGGTGGTTAGCTTATCAATTAAGGAAGAAACAGAGATCGAGAGTTATAGATAAAATAAATTATAATGGCAAGGTGGCTTTTCAGAAAGAATTGATAAAAAAAATGTTTTTTAGATTTTTACACAAAATTATATATGGGTCAGAAGGTTCAGAGTTTGGAGATAGATAAATACCTACAAGATGCTCATTTTCCTAGATTAACAAATGATCAAAGAGATGAGATTAATGGGTTTATTACCTCATAGGAAATTATTAAGGCAATTAAACAATTAAAAGTTGGTAAAGCACCTGGTATGGATGGATTGACATCAATTTATTATAAAACTTTAAGTGATGAGATGATTGAGCCTTTAAAGGAACTCTTTAATAGTATTTTATTGGGTTTAGAGATACCTTTATCTTGGAGAAGGGCTTTCATATCTTTGATTCCAAAAGAGGATCAAGATCTTACTTTACCTAAAAATTATAGACCTATATCTCTTTTGAATATAGATTATAAAAAATTTTCAAAAATTTTAGCGAATAGACTTATGATTGTATTGAATCAAATTATACATACTGATCAGAATGGCTTTATAACTGGGAGGTATATGAAGAATAATGTTAGACAAATTATTAATTTAATAGAATATTTGGATAAAAATAATCAGATTCCTGTAGGTCTGATTTTTTTAGATGCTGAAAAAGCCTTTGATCAGTTAAATTGGCAATTTATGTTGAGGTTGGTTGAAGAAATGAATTTTGGGGATAAAATTTTGCAAGCTTTTAGAGGTATTTATCAAAAACAATCAGCGCAACTTATAATTAATGGCGGTTTATCTGAGGTTTTTCAAATTGAAAAGAGTACAAGACAGGGATGTCCATTGTCCCCGTTGTTGTTTGTTTTAACATTAGAGATTTTGTTGATTAAAATTCGTGAATCATCTAAAATAAAGGGAATAATGATTAATAAGAAAGATTATAAATTAAGAGCTTTTGCAGATGATTTGGTTGTTATTTTGTCTCAACCAACTGGTTCAGTAGTAGAGTTGTTACAGATTATAAATTAGTATGGACAAGTTTCTGGTCTTAAAGTTAATAATAATGACTAAAATTTTAACAAAAAATATGTCTAATTTGGATA